GTGTGCATTGAATTTATTTAATACACGAGTTTCACAATTTGAGTTGAATTACTGAAATAAATGAACTTTTCCATGACATTCTAATTTATTCAGATGCACCTGTATATGTTTTCTAATAGTCGATATGTGTAACACTCCGTTTCCTTTTAAAAACTAGTAACACTTTATGGAAACTTTCAGTAATTAGGCTACAATTACAAACTTTTTATATTGTACGACCAATTATGAGCTTACAAAATGAAAAGAGGGGGGAAAAGTTGACTGTATTTTCAGCTACCTTCACATTTGAATACATGGATTTGTTTGCGGTTTACCGAAAAACAAACACACAAACAAACAAAAATTTCACGCCCTGTCGAAATTAAGCGCTTCTTTATCAACTCCTGAACTCCTGAACCTGCTGGTCAGGTGGAACACTCCCAGCTGTGATTACGAGCTCCAGCAGGACGCTTTGTAGAAGTTCAATCGTGTAATTGCAGTAATTCGACATTAACATCAGGATGAGTGCGCTGCTACTGTCGCGCTGGCGCCCCCTGCTGCGCATGCGCCGTGTTCGTCTGCTCTACCACACAGCGTGCCATAGACTGTATAAACACTGTATTACACACACAACACGCTTGTAACACTACTTCTGTGTTGTTATCATAGACACAGACCTCGTAAGTCTCATAATTTGCTTGTGACAACAAACAAGGTATGATAGGCTATAAATATGCCGTATATTTATTTTATGTTTAAAGGAACATTTTAACATCAGAGTGCCGTGAAGACTAACACGTGAGAGTAACAATTCATGCTTTAAAATCCTCCATTTATACCACAAGTAGCACCGAAATCTGCAACTGCTGTTGAATGCATTTTAAAAGTTTGCATTTACATTTTTAAACAATATAAATACATCTATTTACTGTATTTGTCCGTTTGTGAATGCATTCAAATTAATAACTAATCAATGATTTCTTGGATGCTAAATGAACTGCTCGTTAAAAGAAAAAGCATTTTAACTTACAGACTCCAGATGTGTGTTTTCAGTCTCCAAAATCTCAATAAAACCAGCTTCAGTAGTTAAAAAGGAAAGGATTGGGTTTCTGCGCCAGTAACCTGATGAATGCTCAAAATCTCTTTCGTTTCGACATTTCTGTGTTGAAAGTTTGGACAGAGGCAAACAAACACGTGTCAGGGACTGTTTTTACAAAACTGCTGTCAAAAATCCCTGGATGAGCTAAAAAAAATCACAAGATGATTATCAAATGAGGAAATATGATAATACATTCATATGATGTGCGACGAACTTTCATCTTTTATCAGAGCAGAGGTCAACAAATGCCTGATATCTGACCCATTACAAAAGCTTATATTAACAATTAAATAGAAAGAAAGAAATATTGGACCATAGTCAACAGACCGTTTTAAATGGCCTATTAAATCAACAAAATATGTTCAGAAACTTCTCTCAACACTTCAAACACGGAACTTTGCTGCTGCCGCTCGTGTTTCTGCCCGAGCCTTTGTTGTGACGCACTCGCTGAATTCACATGGCACGTAAACACTGAACGCTTCCTTGTACTCTATATTTATCTACATTTATTTTCATCTCGTTCATCAGTTTGATCATGTCAGCATCCGTGATCCGAAGAGGACTTGATTTATTTAGCGAGAAAGGTAAGTTAATTAGTTCATCGCTTTTGCCAAAGAGTTTGTAATTGTTTGGGTATGTAAGCAAAATTATATCTATAAAAAGTGATGTTATGTGTTTGTGTCTGTAGATGGAGTGAAGCGTAAGCAGAAGAAGAGCGGCTCTCGTAAGTCCGCGCTGATGGAGCAGATCAGCACCGATAAACAGGGCGTTCAGAGGCGGATCCGGCGGCTGCAGCGACCCGGAGGATCAGCGCGGAGCACAAACACGGTCAAAGACAAGCACATCCGGTCTGCTCTGGGTGAGTCTGACCTCCTCAAACCTGCTCAAAACTGTTCAAACCTACTTAGAACCTGCTCAGACTTCCTAAAAACACCTCAGACCTGCTCAGACCTCCTCAAACCTGCTTAAACCTACTTAAAACCTGCTCAAAACTGTTCAAACCTACTTAGAACCTGCTCAGACTTCCTAAAAACACCTCAAACCTGCTCAAACCCACTTAAAATCTGCTCAAAACTGTTCAAACCTACATAGAACCTGCTCAGACTTCCTAAAAACTCTGCAGACCTGCTCAGACCTCCTCAAACCTGCTCAAACCCACTTAAAACCTGCTCAAACTGTTCAAACCTACTTAGAACCTGCTCAGACTTCCTAAAAACTCCGCAGACCTGCTCAGACCTCCTCAAACCTACTTAAAACCTGCTCAAAGCTCCCTTAAGCTCCTCAAATCTAATTAAAACCTGCTTAAACCTACTTCAAAACTGCCCAAGCCTACTTAAAACCTGCTCAGACTTCCTCAAAACTGCTTAAACCTACTTAAAACCTGCTCAAAACTCCCTTAAGCTCCTCAAACCTACTTAAAACCTGCTCAAACCTACTTAAAACCTGCTCAAAACTGCTCAAGCCTACTTAAAACCTGCTCAGACTTCCTCAAAACTCCTTAAACCTACTTAAAACTTGCTCAAAACTCCCTTAAGCTCCTCAAACCTGCTCAAAACTCCCTTAAGCTCCTCAAACCTACTTAAAACCTGCTCAAAGCTCCCTTAAGCTCCTTAAATCTAATTAAAACCTGCTTAAACCTACTTCAAAACTGCTCAAGCCTACTTAAAACCTGCTCAGACTTCCTCAAAACTCCTTAAACCTACTTAAAACCTGCTCAAAACTCCCTTAAGCTCCTCAAACCTGCTCAAAACTGTTCAAACCTACTTAGGACCTGCTGAGACTTCCTCAAACCTCCTCAAACCTGCTTAAACCTACTTAAAACCTGCTCAAAACTCCCGTAAGCTCCTCAAACCTACTTAAAACCTGCTCAAAACTGCTCAAGTCTACTTAAAACCTGCTCATTCAACCTACTACTCACAGAAGCGGCAGGCGTTCAGTTTGAGCAGACTAACACTATCACTAATGTTACGACCGGTTCTGCTTCAGATTCTCAGTCCCACCTGATGAATGTTTCTGTTTTCCTCAGACGAATACAGAAAGAAGCAGAAGAAGAGTCAGCTGAAGTCAAATGTGGAGTATTTCCTGGCCGCTGATCATAAAACACCGAGCAGAGACACGGGAAAGGTCTGATCTCCTTCAGCTTCATCCGGCAGAACTTGCAGATTCCCGCTCTGTCAGTGAGGATGTTATATGATATCTCGTGTGTTTTCTCTAGATCGTCCAGCAGCATTCGGGGCGGCGCGCCTGTCATCGACCCGATCCGCCCGCCTCCAAACCGGAGGAGGAATCCGTCTTCACTGAGAAGGACTTCCAGAAGTTCCAGAAGGAGTATTTCTCAAATCTCTAACGTCTGCAGAACCGATGCATGCTGTGGGACAATCACGCATTTATCAGGAATGATCTCTGACTGAAGCTGCGCTGCAGATAATCCTGTTTGACTGAACAACAGTGATTGATTTTTGAACTTTTGTTTAAAGAATTTTGTTTGTGCGTTTTGAAAAACAAAGAATTAGTAACTGGAAGTTAAACTAGAGAGCTGTGTAATTCTGCTGCTGTAAAACTGTGAACGGAGTACAGAAACCCAACACATCAATTAAAACAAACATGTTTTTTTTTTTTCTAATGTCACCAGGATGCATTGAAATAAAGAGATAGTTCACCTGAAATCTGTCATCATTTATTCACTGTTCCAAAACTGTATGAGTTTCTTTCAGGTGTTTTCTAAAGAATGAGTTGACGGCACCCATTGACTTCCATAGTATTTTTTTCCATACTATGTATGTCAATGGGTGCCGTCAACTGTTTGGCTACACATTATTCTAAATATCTTGTGTTCAACAGAAGACAGAAACTCATACAGGTTTGGAACTGATATAATGACAGAATGTTGATTTTTTTCTGGGTGTTCTGTCACTTTAAGTGGAGTTCACAAGTCTGATATTTTAAGCTGTAATAGGAAAGATTCTGCATGCAACATGTTCTTCTGATAAAGGTGCTTGAACTCTCGAGATGCTCTGATGAAATTATTGCACGACTGAATCTCCTGTGACTTGACTGTTCTGTTCTCAAGCTCTTGTGTTTCTGATCTGTCATTGCATCACCTTCCAAATGAATAAATTCACAGCAAAGCATTGTGTGCAGTCGTCTAAACTTCATCAGAAACCCTCTCGTGACTCTAAACTCTCTTTGAGCCCACCTACACATGTACTGTAATGTTGATCCGGCTGAAGAATGCAGAGCGTCTGGATGAACGAGTCCGTCTGTATCTCAGAGAGAGGTCTGAAACCAAATTCACATTCAGGAGGGGAAACTTTGATGGGGGAACTTCATGTTGAGAAGTAGAGAACTATCACGATCTGACTGTAAGTTATTGTTCTTCATGTGTCACGTTAAGGCTAATGAATATACCACTAGGCATGTAGACTTGCATGTTTGACAGTTTTGTGCTTAAACGTAATGTTAATTGTTTTCTGTTGAGTAACAGTTTGTACTGGTCTCAGAGGAGGATCATGCGCTGTTCTGATGGTCGTTCATCCTCGTCTGGCACAGCAGCGGCTCAGACTGACCATCACTGCGTGCCTCTTTATGAGCAAGTGCTGCCTGACAGAGTAAAGATTCCCTCCAGAGCTTCACTAAATCACTACTACACTAGCGCTCGAGCGTCTGAAAGAGTGTCTTCTGCTCACCAGGGCTGCATTTATTTGATCAAAAACACAGTAAAAAATGTGAAATATTATTATGATGTAATACAGCTGTTTTCTAAGTGAATATCTGTTAAGCTGTAATGTATTTCTGTGATGCGCAGCTGTATTTTCAGCATCATTACTCCAGTCTTCAGTGTCACATGATCTTCAGAAATCATTCTAATATGCTGATTTGCTGCTCGAGAAACATTTCTGATTATTATCAATGTTGAAAACAGTCGTGCTGCACAATATTTTTGTGGAAATTGTGATGCATTTTATTTTTCGGGATTCACAGATTAACAGAATGTTCAGAAGAACAGCATTTATTTGAAATAGAAACATTTTGTAACATTATAAATGTCTTTACTGTCACTTTTGATCAATTTAATGCGTCCCTGATGAATAAAAGTATGACAATACCGACCCCAGAGTACGGTACTTCACACTCTTTACTGTATTCTTTATTTAAACCGCTTATGATGTGGAATGAATGCAATGATCACTACACTGTCGTCACATGAACTCGGTTATCATTTGGAAATCAAACAGTTATTTTGCATTTAAATCTAATGTTGTGTAAAGCATGAGTCAAGAAAGAGATGTAAAAGCCACAGCGGATGTTGTTATTAACGGTTCATTAGTCACTCACACTGAAATGCTTTAATTATTGCTTCTGGAAGCTGATTATGATTTTGTCTCAGGTGAAGCCGCCAGTTCCCAGCAAACCCAGTCTAACCACAGCTTCATGTGGCGTTCCTCCAGCAGACGAGGATTACAGAGACATCCGGTCACCTCCGATTCCCCCCCGTCCAGCTTCATCAGAACCGGTCAGGGGTGACCCGGATCAGCACCTGTATGAGGACATCTCAGTGCTGCTGGACCAGTGGAAAACCGTATTTACACACATCAGACATGCTTCAAAACACCTCGTTTATTTCTGTAGCACTTTATACAGTACAGCAGCTTCACAGTAATACACAGAACCATTGATGCAAGATTCAGCTTTGAGGAGCTCTACAGAAAACATTCAGATCACTTCATTTCGAGTTTAGTTCTCATCTGACACTTAATATGGAAAAGCTTCTCTCTGAGCCAATCCCGGCATTAAATTGTTTTATCAGTTTTTTCTGTCTTTTTAGGGTGTTTCTTTACAGTTAATAACACTTGCTTTGATATTTTGTCTCTAAATGACACAAGTGTGACTAAAGTGTCCAGATGCTTTCAGAAGCTGCTTTATTTTGTATTTCTTCACTGAAACACTAATGACTGATTTGTGACTCTTCAGGATGGAGGAGCTGATTGTGCAGGGAAGGGGAAGCGCTTCTCATCCTCCGGTTTGATGGTAAAGCGTCTCTGCTCTCTCTAGTCCTCATGAATGCTGCTGACGTCAGGTTTGATGATGATTTTGTCTCTGCAGGAGTCAGACACAGGTCTGCGTGTCAAAAGTGGGCTTTTGCCAGGTAGGAAAGCTGTTTATTTTTATTGGAATTGTAACATTTCAGCCTCATTTCCTTTCGTAAATCTATTTTACACAGTTTGAATGTACTGAGAAATGTGTGTGTGTGTGTGTGTGTGTGTGTGTGTGATGTCAATTTTCGATAATTTCCATGATTGATCGTT